CTGAAAGTCTCAGAGGGAAAAATTTAATGTCCACCTCATAACATTATGCCAAAATTACATGCACAGAAGACTTTTTAATAATCTTTGTTTCTTAATTTAGTTTTGATTGGCTATGAAATACAGAGTAGCACTTAAGGGCTCAAATTTCTACTGTCATCAGCATTTCTGCTCTATAAATTGTACAAATGCACAGGACTCCTGTCTGTAGGCTTCTTTTCAAGCTTCTGTTTAATCTATGAAGAAAATTAGCTGCAGGCAACAATAACTGCCTATAATTTCATCATCTTTTAGCCACTGGGATGTGGATTGTGTTATGATAGCTAGGTCTAAACATAAGCAGAAAAGTGTATTTTTACATTGCCATTTCAGCCACAAAGACAGGTTGGTAACATAAATTCGTCTCCCGTTTGCAAATTACAGCAATAGCCACTAGGAGTCTCCTGGTTAAATTCGTGATGAATTAATACACTAATCCTGGCTAAGGTTTGAATGCAAACCCCATGCTGAAGGCTGGGGCCAGCCCATGCGAGGGAGATGCGACTCCGGGGCAACAGGACCCCAAGCCGTGAACAGCATCATGGGAGCTCCCGATGCTTATAGCAGGGGCACAGCCGGCAAACGTTTCAGAAATAGTCAGAAGCCACCTATGAACTATTCTTGTAGGGCAAAAGATGGTATAATTCATGAAAAGTCAGGTTTGTTTCTCTGTTAATGATTTACTGGACAGAGTTTTGTGAAATTGTAACACGTGCTTACAAAGAGGGAGGTAGAAGATTTCACCAATTGTTAGTTACTCGCTGGGGATTTAAAGCAGATTTGTTTTGTAAACTGAAATGCTGCAGGCCACAAGAATTAGCACTCCCAGGTACTTAAAAATTTGCTTACAAGTATCTCTGCAAAGTGAATCCTGCAGTTCTGAAAATTTTAAGTAGCTTCTTTCTCTTCTATTCTCTCCTTCCCCTTCCTTCTCCTCCCAGGCCAACTAAGCATAAGTGTATGGTGCCAGATACTCTTAACAATGCCAAATGCTCAAAGTTCATGAATTACAGACACACAGGAATGGTCATGCTGGCTCAAATGCTATGACCATCCAGTCCAATTCTGTGACTGACAAAGGACAGCCAAATTTCCTCGAAGGAATGCCCAGAAAGCAAATGTGCATTGCCTGCCAGCATGCATGTCTTGCTCTAAGCAACTAGAAATTTCTTCAAAATGTACAGAGAGCCTGAGGTGACCCATCCACCCCTTCTGCAAGGGGCTGGTTATCCCCCAGGCAGGAGGAATACTGCCTGTTGGGGAAGGCTGCTATCACATCCTCCTGACAGACACAAGCAACTCCATGGCCAGAAACCATAACCATTCACTGCTCTAAACCATTTGTTTATATGTTTCTTTCATGCATCTCTCCTCTCAAGCAAAATCCTTTCCCAAGCCCTAAAAATCCTGAACAACTTCAAAAATGATGAGATTGTAAACAAATAATGATTTTGAGGACTATTTATTTGGTTTCCACTTTTTGAGCTTCTCAGCCTCATTTTCAAACATTTCTCTGCAACCAGGACTAAGATAATAAAGATGATGCTTTAAATGAAAATTGAGAATCTCACATAATCATAGGACTCCAGGGGTTTGAGGTTTCAGAATAATCTCATGAGTTGTCAATACTGAATGTCACCAGAAACTATAATGTTATTCTCAGAATAGATTGCATAAAAGCAATTGTGGGATAGTTTTCCTGCTGTATGTTCCCCATAATACCTACAGATGCTGTCCTGGGAGGGACGACCCAAAGGTACTTAGAAGTTGTGAGCTGCCACATGCTAGGTTTACCTACCAACTAGCAAGTCTTGCATTTTGCAACAAATCTGCATGTGCAAAAACCTCGTTATTCGGTCTGTCAACTCAACAAGCTCACCGAGTAAAAATTCATAATAGACTCTAAAAACATTTAATTCCATGGGGAATATGCAGAAATTAGTAGGAAGGAAATTTTACCATTAACTGCCCATCTCTTCTGTGTGCTTGTGTGCATTGCAATGGATGATTGCATTGTGTATTATTGCAGACTATTATCATGTCCCTCTCACAAACTGCCTTAGATTTTACCATAAGCCCCCAGCAAAACTTGGGGTGAGCCTCTCCATCTGGTTGTATTTCAGGAATATAATCTATACTACACTGATAGCTAATACAGACTCAACAGTTAGTACCTTAGTCTGTATAGTCTGCGGTGAACAGAAAATTACTAAGCCTGATTGGGGAACTGATATGGAAACAAAATGTGAGGCTGCTTCAACCTCCTCCTCTTCCTGCAGCTGTTTGGTACCCTTGCTTATTGTTAGGATATCTGAAAGGACCCTGATCTCCTCTAAGGCAGCTTTAACCTGATTTCAATAACAAAACACTGGTACATGGGTTTAGCACAGAAATATCCAATATTGACAACAATAAAACCAAGCATTTGTATAAGTTAGTTAGGCACTTCACCACACTGAAAAGAAACTTTTGGATCTCTGTCATTTCAGATACAGAATTTTTTAGTGCAAGAACATGCCTAACAGGAATGTACTCTTTTCCACTGCTCACCTTCTTCAAGTATGTCAATGCTACCTTCTTAATTCTTTTTCTAAAACTAAAAATCAACACAAAAGAACTCTTCATTGGGAAATGCCAAAGGCTCAGCCCTACAATGTAAAACCTCATTTTGAAGGAAATGTGTAATTTCTACATGTAGCTACAGTATAGATAGACATGAAGCATTTTTAGGGATGAGAGTGCTCTGCTGCTGTGCAGTACCTCAGGAACATCAAATATTTCTCTCATTTCCCTATGTTTCAAGTAAGTCAAGCCATTACCAATGCATATCTGAATATAGTGTATATGTACAATATACATCTATACTGAAAGCAAATACAACATCTATCATGTAGGAGTCAGTCACTCTACACTCACATCACTAAATATACACCCTCGTTGTGTGCGCTCTCCATCTTCTCAGTTCTTCCTCTTTTGCTACTTCTTGTGTCAGGATTCTTCTGGTGACCTTCTGCATCTCAAGGGCTTAAGCAGCAAGAGAGCTACAGCTGTAACCTCAGGTCATTCCCAAGCAAACTTTCATCCCCATCACAGCATCAAGGACCTTGCTAGGTCAAACATTTTCAGGGGGAGTTCTGGCACTATTTTTAATACTTAGATTTAATTCAAATGTCTTTTTTCCTTTTTTGTTTTTTTTTTGTTCAAAATCATTATTCTAACTAGAGAATGGACCGATAACCAAGGCTTTCAGAAATGTAAAAAAAAATATTTAAGATAGGAACGCTACAATGTTTATCTGCACTAAAAGGAAGAAACAAGTTTGGCTGGACAGTTTCTTTTCATTAGAACAACTTCTCTCATTCACTACATGGTGAGTTACTAATCGTCACTGATTGAGAGCTAAATCACAGCTATTATTATTCTGAGGGAGAAAATACATTTCAATATGAAGAAAAAAGAAAAAGACCATATTATGCAGGGCACGTTACTTTTATTTGTTTTTAAACAGTGGCTGCTTGAAGCTGCTCGGAGGTTTAGAGTGTCAAAGCCGTGTCAGCAGAGACGGATTAGTGGGCAGAGAGCAAGTGGTGCCGTCAAAGGTTCACAGTGAATGTAATTTATTCACGTAGCTCCGCAATTTGTTCACGTGGCTATTCCCATAATGTAGGTGGGAAGCAGCTGCATGTGTGCAAATAATGCCCTAAATGTATGTGTGGTTGGACCTGAACTCCTTATACAACAGTAGTGGTTGAAAATGATATGGTAAGGCATTTAAAGGCAAATTTCCTTTCCACGGGGATGCTGTCACACAGCAATGATGATTCGTAGACAGGCAAATAAATATTTTGTATCCTCTTCTCAGTTATAATAACCTCATTTACCAGAACTCATTGCTTTTTCAAATCTAAATTATGTAGGTAATGTGGTATGTTCCCAGTGCTTTATTAATAGATGTAAGTACATATGTTTTGCATCTCAAACTCACATTTTCTAGTCAAGAAATACTGTATTTTCCACTGAATATTTAACAGAAATATTCAGTGGCAAAAAAAAAAGAATTTTCCATGCTTGCGAGGTAAAGTTGAAGATTTCTTTTAACTCTAATGACCTCTTACAGCACGATCTATCAAACACTTGGGAGCAGCACAGCTGTAAAAAGTTGATTGATATATATATATATATATATATATATATAGTATCTGCCTGGTTTCTCATATCTGTACAATTGTTTACCAAGCCCAACATTTCTAAAACTAGTCTCTAATTTTAGGAGCATCTAAATTAAGGAACTTGACTTTGGTCTCTTTTAGTTGGCTTGAATGCCTACAATTCCAGTTAAAGAAGAAAGCTGTCAGTAGTTGGTAGAGCTGGCCGCCACCTGAAGGTGTTTCTTGCTGCACTGTCCATACACACATGTACGGACCTGCCGGTATGCCCCTGCTGCGTGTGGCAGCAAGGCTCCAGCAGTGCTGCTCCAGCAATGCTGCATGGACTTGATGAAAAACTCCACCAGCCCAGCTCCCATGACCGCTTTTTGAGCTTCTGCAGTTTGAGTTTTTAAAAACAGTCTCGTGTTTAGAGATGATGCTGAATTATACCATGCTGTGATGTTTTCAGGTGATTGTACTGGAACCAATTCACTCAAGTCTTTTGTGATCCAGGCAAACACACCCCAGTTACAGGTTAGTGCACTAGGAGTTTTATGCTGCTTTCTTTTAAGTCATTAGAAGTTGACATAGAAAGACACCTAATTCAGACAAAGTCAAGTTAGGTTCCCTGTAAGTAGAATATCTCATTGCCAGCTTAATGTACTGCTCAGCATTCTGTTCAGCAGGACCTTTCACATTTGGAATATGATGCAGATTTTCTTGGACAATTACATGTGCGCTCTAAGGCTTCCATTTTGAAGCCATCTATCACAAATATATAACCACTAATTATGCAAAACGAAAAGCTTGCCTTACCATTGCACAGAAAGTCTCAGGAGGATCTCCACACGTTATGTCTGGGGGATCCAAAGTCACTTTTACGTATTTGATCATGTCTCTGGCTTCTGGCTGGCAGGCCATGTAATCCCATACTTTTCCTTCTTCTGTGTAAATCTGAGTCTTACACACGTCATAGTGTCCCCACACAGAAGGGTAGTGCTGCATCACAGAGGATACGGTAACCCAGAGGGCGTGAAGTGACAGGAATCTTGACAAATACATTTCTAAATCCTTTTATGTCACCTTCGTAAGGATTCTCAGTACTGGTGTACGTGCAGTCTACAGATTATAAATATACATACATATACATGTATATATTTTATAAAACAGGTTCCAAGTCAAACGTGAAGCATTAGGACAGGGTGCTTGTTTCACTAAGTTGAAGACTTTGGTAGAAGCCACCCAGACCCCGATGACAGACTTTCACAGCAATGCAGTACTCGTCCTTTATCTTTTAACTAATTTGTCAGGGCTTCTTGTAAAAGATGTCCAATAGCAGAAAATAATTTGTGAAGTTGCAGGTCTTCAGCTACACTGTCGATAACCCTGAGTGATCCTCCGTGTTCAGGGCTCACAGGGGATGCCCAGATGCCCTGATGAATCAGTATCCGAAGCAAAAGGATGAGTGTCTACAGGCTCGTGTCTGTTTCCCATCAATTATTCTTCTCTTCTGGCACCATCACCCTTTTAGAAACAATAAGAGTTAGAGTTATTGTCCAAGAATCAATGTATTACAAAATATACGATATGTTGACATTTTGGAAGTTTGATGCAATATAAAGCAAATTGGTATAATATGGATAACCTTTACTGTGGGTGCTGTGCTAGAATAAACAAACCACCAAAATCATTCACAGTGAAAAGTATTTTGACATGAAGGATTTAACTGTTCTCTAACAAAGACAGATTTATAATGTTCCAGGTGAGTTACAGGTTTCTGCTTCCAAAACTGTTTCCACCCTAGCGAAACCAAACAGCTACTGAACTCAACCGTTGCCCAGATGGTGCAGGCAGGCAGGCAGGCAGGGGAGCAGGCAGCCCAGTGCCTTGGGGCAACAGCAGGAAGGCTCTTTAATAAAAGTGACACAGAGATGGGTATCAGGGCTATCAGCACCTGATAGCCACTTGGCAAGAGGACTACAGGGAGCTCCAAAAGCCTTACGCTTCCTTGCTTTTCTAAACAGCAACAAAAAAAAAAAGGTAACAAAGATATTGTAAGCACACTTCCATTTCTTCGAAATTTCTCATTAATGTTGGAAGAGCTTTGTTACTTTTGCTTTTCAATTTGGACTGTGATTTACTGATCAGACTGATGTAAAACCACTGATAAAGATAGTGGTTCACTTGTAGCTTACTCTAAGGATGCTTTCTGCCTCTGTTACCTGGGCTTGGGGGTGAGGGTACCTGTATACTCAGCATTTATTTCCTAGTAGATACACCCCTTTCCTCTCTTCAGAAGGCAACTAGAAATTCCCTCAGTTTGTAACACCTCAGTCATATTATTACAGGTATAAAGTCCTAGGAAGTTATTTCAATGACATAAAATATACATTTTCTAAAAGACATAGGTAAAAATACAAATTACGTGTGAGGGAAACTGCAAAGACGAGGTACCCTAAACACGGACAAGGGAAAGCAGGGCTAGGAACTCCAACTCATTCCTCTCCACCTGCGCCTGGTGTCAGCCTGTGCCAGCCAAGGACGGGGAGCTGGGGCACTGGGTTCTCTGAAGGAGGAGGATTTCAGCCAGCTGCTGCAGCACTCTTTTTGTCTGGATGCTAAAATCTAAGCAAACCCATCAGACAGATTTTAAGAAACAACTGTAAGTCACCACTTCCTGAAGCACACTTTGCTTGTTCCCAGGTTTAAATTATGATCAGTGTTATGAACCCTCCTATACCTCAAAACCACAGGAAGTGGTATGTGACCTGGTGAGCTCCTTTAGCATGTCACCTTGGTAATATGCTTTTTCAAAACTTCAAAGCTATTTGCAAACGGCATCCCTATATTTAAATAATGCTTCATCTTAAACTGAGCTAAACTACAGACACTATGAAATGCCAACAGATGGTTGAATTGTGTTTCCATAGCAAAGTAATTTACAATAATTGCCGTATGGACGTAAATGCAATTTTCCATTATATTCATTTTATCGAGTGTTACCACACAATTCTCATATTTTATCAGAATATGCAGAGAATATCTGAATTTTCATGCAATAATAATTCTCAATTAGTTCAAGAATTTGACACAAAAGCAGAAATATCTAAGACCAAATTAAAATTAAATCTTTTTAAGAAGCACGCTGTGTAGTACTACTGTTTTTTGTAGCGACCTTACATTATTTTTTGTTTTCAGTGGGAATATTTACTTATTATCTTAGAATTCAGTAATTCAGAGAACACTTCCCAAGTCATTCTAAAGACACCTCATACTCTTTCCTTCTAGTCCTTTACAATGTATTTTAATATTTTGAAGGGGAAAAAAATGACCCCCAAAACCCCGAGCTTAGAACAGTCATTAAACAAAAGGGAAACAACTACTCTGCTAAAAATGGAGCCAGATGATTTTAAATTAGTGAGAAATCAAAAAATGATCGGTACTGGAGAAAGCTTGGTCATAGCTGGAATAAACAGTAGGTGAATATCATGTTTCTGTGTAGAAATAAGTTACTGACTTTAATTATCCTTAGACTACAAGCCTATGTATTCAGGAAAAAAAAAAAGATTTGTTTTCTTTGATATTTTCCTTGCTAGCTCTTCAGTTACCCATAACCTTTTATAACTGCTGACACTCAGATCCACTAATAAACAGGACTGGATAGGACTAAAATAATATGAAGCAAGCCACTACCTTAACACACGGTGCTAAAATACTTCCCACATAACGAATTCTCATTAAAGTAAGCCAGAGTCATAATGATGGTCGTTACACAGAATTATAGACTATAACATCGATTGAATTTAGTGCACTGACAAGGAAAAAGTGCAGAGGAGTGCAAGACATCTGAGCATTAGGCAGCTGTAGCAGTGTACGACAGACATTCCTGACAAGAAGCAGCCAATTATAGCTTAAATTTCTGGCATATAACCAGTTCTGATTAATAGTTTTCCATTACATTACAGACATATTATTAATGTATTAAAAATGTCAAGCTTTGGCAAGAACTAATACAGCATGGCTCAGTTAGTCTGCAATATCTTCTTTTAATGAGCTTCCATTGATACAGAAAAAGATATTGACCAAAGCACATTAAGGATCATATGCTGAGTACTGCTGGGGTTTTTCTGATGGAGCTATGTGATTTCTTTTGCTTATATTTATTCCTGCAGAGTCACTCACGATATGCATTCTACATTTCCATGCTTTATCGTTAAGGACATATCTATTTGAATTATTCCGTAAAAAAACCATTTAGAATAACATTTCTGAAGTTTACAGCTCTACCAGTTGCATAGTGCTAAGCCTCTAGCTATAGAAAATACAAAGGTATTATTTTTGTCCCAGTAATGCCTGTGCATTTCACCTTACAAACAAGCAATCAAACAGATGAGGAATAACTAATGTGTGGTGCCTCAATCCCCTGCACCCCGTTGTGCCTTGCCAGTTGTACACCCTGGGTGTTGGGAGTCTACGGGGGTGGCAGAGAGGGAGTAGTATCCTTACAGACTGAGGGAACGGGAACAGCAAACTGCTGGAAGGATGTTAGCTAATGTATGCAAAGCCTCCAGAGCATGCCGATCCCGGAGATCTCCTTTGTGGGGCAAGAGCAGTATGAACCACGGGACATTTTGGGCCTTGAATGTGCGGTGTGCCATTGCCTCTCCAACACGGAAAACACTGGGCGGCAACGGTGCTGAAGGCCACTTCTATGGCCCCTGCCTTGCCCCAGATCACTGCTCCTTCTGCCAAGCACTGGACGTTCAGGCCACAGGGAGTATGTTATAGCCATAAGAGAAGAACAGCACACAGCTGACCCCCAGACTAAAATCAGCTGTGAAGGTGGCTCTAAGCACATTCATCCCTTTCCGGGTGGGTAAGTCACACCTCACACAGCATTTTACTTCTGCAGCCTGAGCAGATACCCCCTTCACAGACCAGCTAAAATGCATCTTGGCAGAATCGATGCCGCTAAAGAACTTCAGATCTCATCAGGGGTTGTTAGCAAACACTCCTCCTCTGCCTCCTTCCATCACTATGAAAATCCACCCCCTTCCCCACATAACTCCCCCCACACAAAGCACACCGGCCGGACACCCTGCACAAGCTCCCTGCTGGGAAGTCGCTGTGCAAAGCGTACGGGTGGGCACCCGGCCTCACCCAGCCTCTCTCTTCTGCAAACAGCAGGTACATGAAGGAGGTAATAAAATAACAAGCGATTGCCTCTTGCATGGACCGTGAATTTGATAAAGCGTACACTGCTGCCCTGCCACGCACGAGTAAGAGCAAGAGCCAAGACCAGTTTTAATAAAGCACAGCAGCTTGAGGAGAACCAGTTAAAATCATGAAGAAAGGCAAGGAGAGCTGGCTGTCAACTCCCAACACCAGCATCAGCAGAACATTTTTTTTTTTTCCAAAGGAAACATGTTTTAAATTTGTATCCCTAACAGCTTCAGCAGATGAATGTATCTAATCAAGCCCAGGTAAAAAGATCCTTTGTGTCCACTCCAGTTATTAATTATTTAAAGACAGGTTAGAAGGTATGAAACAATCCGTACTACAATACAGAACTAATCCTCATACCTGCAAGTTACAACATTTAATAAAAACTGAAATAGTTTATGCCCTGCTACACCTAGACAACTTGAGAACCTGGCACGTATAAAGCTCCAGCATTTTAAAAAAAATACAAACCAAAAGAAACCAACATCTTTTATAAATGCAAAATTATTCATCTATGCAAAAAAGAAGGGGCCCTGTATTTAACGATTTAACTTTCCATTGTACTTGGATGAAATACAGTATGTTCCAAACAATTGCTGTGGTGCCTTTGGATTCAAATGCTGCTCCAAACAAAGTTTAGATTTATTTTTATTCAGCTTAGTAAACTATTTAGCACAAAAAGATTTTCTTTCCTCAGGAGAAATTTAAAATGTCAATACCTATTGGCTGAAGAAAATAAAATACAGCATTCTGTCACCAAAAAAACTGGGATTCAGCACTATACTTAAAATATTTCTGGTTTTCCCACATCATTCTTTGCTGAGTGACACCTCACACTACCACTGCCATTACTTGCCGGGTATCATCAGCTGACAGCATATGGAGTAAAAGCACTTCAGCTATTTAAATTTTAGAGGCTTTGTATGTAGCTGCTTTAAGTTTCTCCTCTAGAATCTTTATAATTGTGCCTTATTGCCTTAAATATCCTGTATCTAGCATCAATCTTTTCTGCTAGTTTTTCCTCTCAGAATTTAAGGTAGCATTTGGGGCAGCTACAGTTTTTTTGGTCATTATTTTTCACCCACAATAATATATGCTCCTCAGGCAGTGTCCCCAGGGTATAGGGGCTACCGAGCTTTAAAGTCATGGTGTGAGCAGATGACATCTCAAAACTGAATGAAAACGAAAGCCTTATGGACCCTGAATTTAGTCTGTGCTATTGCCAGATTTTACATACGTAGTTAGAAAGTTGGTGCCACTTCTTATCATTGTCAAAGGGCTGAGGGTTGATGGCAAAGTCCACGACTCCATGAGAAGATTGCCACTAACTGCTGGAAACTTTCTGGTAAACATCCTCTAAAACTCCAAAAATATGCCAGAAATCAGCGTTTATTTGTTTTTTCCAAATTAAAAAATCAAACCAAACCAAACCCCACACACACCAGAAAACAAGACGGGCAAGGTTCTACTGTGGTTTTCTTCCCTCCGACTGGCTGCCCAGGCCACAGCTTCTCATCCTCAACCGCATTGTCCTTAGGCAAGACAGTGATTTATTCCCTCCTCAAAAGCATCTCCACCGTTTCTTTCACTCACTGTCTCTGCTAACATCTCCGCAGAAGTAAGGCTGGCTCCTAGCACATCGGATCCGGAATATCGAAAAGTTGATTGCAGAACAATAAAAGTCTATTCAGCAGAGGCCAAAAATGCACACGCACCAACTTTGAGAGTAGGAAAGCATCTGTTTTATCGGGTTTAGCCGCTCCGCGCTGCTCATTGCCATGTGCGGTTTCTTTAGGGGTTTTGTGCGTGTGAACGGCGAGAGCAGCCGCCTGCGGTTTCCGATGCGAGGGAGGGAGGGAGGGAGGGAGGGAGGGAGCCGTCCCCAGC